GGCATATGTCTGTGAGTATGCAAATGTGTGCAGAGTGTATGGTGTGGGTGTGTGAACAGGCTACGTGTGTGAACATGTGTGTCTATGACGATGCAGGTTGGATGCACTATGGCGGCCTCCTGCTAGGCAGTGCCTGGAGATGTGTGGCCCAGATAAAACCCTTAGAGATATCACACTGGGGTTAAGAGCAAGAATTAGGGGTCTCACGACTACCAGGCAGGAAGGGAATGTTGGGAGTCTGAGGAGTCAAAACTCCCAAACCTGGGCTGTCCGTCTCTACCTCCAGATGTTGCACCAGGGTCTCAGGGACTGAGTCCCCAGGGGAAGGCTGAACCCTGGCTAAACTCAAAGTGGGAGAAGTTTACTGTCTTCATTCTCTTCTCCCTCTCTTGTTTTCTCCAACTGTATTTTCTCTCTCCTTTCTGCCTCTCAGGCAGCTGCAGTGTCCTGGAGTTCCCACTCCCAGGGGAAGGGATAAGAAGCTGAAGCCCATTGACCTGCAGGGACCTGAGGGCCTACCATCCTCTGGGGCCAGTGTTTGACCAGAGAGATGAAGCCCAGGGAAAAAATCGCAAGTCTCGTGACAGGCAGGTGGATAGAATAAATAATACCAGGTACACCAGGAAGTGTTCTAAGTCTTCAGGAAAATTCACTTAGTCCTCATAAAAACTTGGGTTTTATTATCCTCCCTATGTTATAGATGGGGTAAGAAAGATAATTCTCATCAGGTTGCTGTGAGGATTGCCTGAGGAGAGCATTACAGAGGGTTTAGCACGATGCCTGAAGTACAGTGTAAGTGCCATGGCAATCAGCCTTTGTCACTGAGGTGGAAGTTGTCCTTATGGGTTGGGCTCTGTCATAGCATCATCTCACTTTGACCTCCCACGTCACCAGTGTCCGAAGAGCCATCTCCTAGGCCTTTCCAGACCAAGAGCTGAGATCCTAGGTGGTACTTGCCATGACCCAACACTGCTCTCCCCAAAGACACACCCTGAGAATCCCCCCACCTGCTGGGCTCAGTGGGGGGTCCCACTCAGGTAGAAGTACCTGGCTCAGGCATCCTGTAGTTTCCACCTTCCAACAACCTGGACCAGAGTGAGCCAGTCCACAGGAACAGGGCTTTGGGAGGGTTAACTTTTACTATAAGCCTACTCATGGCTTTCTGCTACAAGAAATGGTGAGACTTCTTAGCTGAATATGGCTATACTTCTGGTATTATTCTAAGTATTATTCTGGTATTATTGGTATTCTGGTATTATTCTAGAACCTGTATACATAGAATTTTGCATGAATTTTAATGTGACTTAAGAGCAAAAACCTGAAATTTAGAGTAATCACCTCCACACATTTAGTCAAAGACGTTGTCTCTAGTGAGCGCGGATTGGCTGCCCATTTCCTTGTCAGCCTTAGGAGGGGCTTACCAAGCCTGAGAAATTCCTGGAGTCTTACAGGACCATCTTCCTTCCCCTTCCCCCTTCCTTCCCCGTTTCAGCTCCCTGGCCAGCTGGGGGCCAATGGTCTCATCATCTCCTCTCATGGTGTGTCCCCTGTCTACTTAGATATGTGGTCTTTCTGAGGTGATCTCTTATTATTTTTATCGTATAGACTCCTTGGTAGAGTTCATCATTTCAGAGAAGCTTGTGGGGTCAGGGGACTGTCCTTGTTTCCCTGCCTTGGGGACCAGTTTCAAGACCTTATGCCAGTCAGCTTCTCTCTGCTGTCTACTGTTCTTGGGAGACATGTTCTGTCCTGACTCTTGGGAAAGTCTTGGACAAACGAGATATATAAATATATCTTCACACATTAAAATCAACTGCTATAAGCAGATTCGCAGGCACTATTGGACCTCAGTAATATGTAATCATTATTACATAATAGATTTTTTTTAAAAGAAAATAAATCAAGGTAATTCAAGGACTTGAGGAAGATTCTTTTGTCATCAGAAATATTTAAATAGTTCTCTGAGTGATCGCTGGACACTGATCGTTGTATTTGGTTTATCATTAACCCCACAGCTGATTGTTACTCCCCAGTCCTGGGCTGAATAATGTCCTTCCAAAATTTATGTCCACCTGGAACCTCGGAGTATGACCTTACTTAGAAATGGGCACTTTGCTGATGCAATTCATTAAGATGAGGCCACACTGGATCAATGTGGGCCCTAAACCCAATGACAAGTGTCCTTGTAGAAAGGCCCTATGAAGACACAGAGAGACACAGTGGGAGAAGGTCAAGGGAGGATGGGCAGAGGTCGGAGCCATGCAGCTGTGGGCCGAGGACCCCTGAGCATTGCTGGAGGTGCCTGGCAGCCCCTGGCAGTGAGGAGAAAGGCACAACCCCCTTCACAGATCTCCCCTCACAGCCTCCCGAAGGAACCAACCCTGTGGACATCTTGATTTCAGACTTCAAACCTCTAGAATGGTGAGAGACTAAATTATCGTTATTTTAAGCCACCCAGTTTATGGTACTTTGTTACAGTGGCCCTGGGAAATTAATATACTCCACCAAACTGGTGAGTTTTTAACTTAATTAGATATCCCATTTCGGCTACAGACCAGCTTCCTTATTCATGGAAAGATTTAAAGTGGACTTTGGGGAGTTCATTTTTACATCTGCTATCACCTATTTATAATATCAGTTAAAAATAATGTAAGGTTGTCTGTGGCTTCAGTGGCATTTCTTGGCCTTTGATTCTAGGGACCAAGATAGGCTGTCTGAGGTCAGGATTGGCTTGTGGGTTATTGGCATTAATATGGAAGCTGTATCTTAGTCCTTTTGCCCTAGGATGATGCTCTGGAGGTCAGGGAGCCCCTTCCAAGGGGAAAAGATTGATAGGTTCTGATGGACTTTGTAGTTTTGGTTCTTCTGGAATGATGGGCCATCATGCCAGAAGAAGCTAGATATGCCACTCCATTGTAGAGAACAGAGAAATAAACATTCCTGACGACCACCTCTCCAGGCCAGGGTGGAGCCCCAGGCTCTGACCTAGGTCACAGTCTGGCAATCAAGCTTGGGCACTGCAGCTGGTAAAGCAGGAGAGGAGACCAAGGAGGACTGAAGTCTGAGTCTTGTCAAGGGCAGGCTTAGAAGCATGAAGTATCAGAAACAGTATGTTCAAGGTCCATGTGGAAGCAAAGGTTCTGCCCCACATCAGGCAGGATGGAAGCCTGGGAAGAACTTTCTCTTAAAGAGAACTCTCATACACAGAGGCCCTGGGGATGAGTCCAGCATGGACTGGGGGCTGATAGGACATGACAAGGTTTAGTGCCACAACCTAGGAATGGCCTTGGCAGACAAAGGGGTCCTTTATCTAATTGCTGTACCCCAAGACACTCTGGGTTAACTACTCTAAAAGCTAAGTTATCAATTACCTGGCTTCTGGTTGATATTTCTGTGGAGGGAGTTTACTCATTTGGTTACTTGATTTTTTATTAATAGCCTCTCCATCTGGGATGATATCCCAGAAAGGTATGAGATTCAAGGTCAAGTGTTCCATGGATGCTTACCCAAGATTTTTTTTTCAATTCCAAAGAGAAGTGCGGTTATACTTGCTTTTGGTTTGTTCCATTACAAATGTCTTAATTACATTCTATAACACAGAGCTTTGAGATCTTGACCATTGGTGTAGACCCCAAACTATTCTTCTTCTGCAGATCATCTTGGTCCCACTTGTAGGCAGTCTCCCCCCACACTCTCAGCCCAGCCTTGGAGGGAGAGGGAACTTTGGCTTGGGCCCACAGGCTGGAGTGCCTGAGAGTGGGACCAAAGCAAAAAGGGCTGTCTGGGAAATTGAAGGTATGGGGACAAATGCAGCCTGAGCCTCCTTGGTGGCAATCATGGTCTTTAATTATTAATGAAGTTGCATTTTTGATTTGTAAGCGAGTGTCAGCTGGTAGGTACTGGTTGAAGTACAGACCTCAGAGGGGAAAAGACCTTAAACCTTAGCTCTTGGAAGATCAGCCCCTCCCTGGCATCATCAGACATCTTCTTAACTTTCCTTTGGTTGGGAACTCTTCACATAAGTGGTCCATCTGAGTGACAGAAAGGGAAAGAGTCCTCTTCCCTGAGGTGGGGTTTATGAAAGACCAGTCTCCATTACGTTTTTCTCCTCCTCTACCTCCTCTTTATTCTAGAACTCTGCCTCCATCAGGAGTGCAGGGGCTCTTGTAGAGAGATGCCTGGTCAGGAGGACAGGAGATGCCTCCCCTGGTTTTGATACTAGTTTATGCTACGTGGTCCCCTTGAGCAAACCTCGTCACCTCTTGGGATCTCAGTTCTCTCCTGTGAAATGGTTAGCATGTGTGTTTACAATTCCTTGTATGTATGCCCATGTAACCTGATCGCTCAGGCCCCAGGACTCTGGGCAGTTTATGATTTCTCCTACTGTGGGTGGAGATGAGTGTCCCTGGTGAGGATTTCAGGTCTCGGTGAGGGTCACTACACTGAAAGGAGCTGCAGCTTCCAAGAATTTAGGGAGGCTTACAAAAAGGCTACTGGCTGGGTCTGCGGCCTCTCTGTCCCAGCGTCTAGAAGAGCCTGGATTCTAGTGAGTATCCAAATATGTATTTTCAATGAAGGAAAGAAGAGAAGTTGGAAGGGAGGGGAGATGAAGAGAAGGAAGGGTTAAGGGGAGAGGAGAATTCCATGGAGGATACCAGGAGAAGGATGTGGAAAAGCTGCCTTTTTGAAACGATCTTCCCACCCACGGGATCTCTCTTCTTTCTGACAGGTGCCTCTGAGATCTTAATTCTCCTTCGCCATCTTGGGTTCCTTCATTAAAATAAGCTGCAGAGGGGACCCCTCTTTGTCCCTCCACCCCACCAGGAATAGTTAGGCCAGGCTGGGATACCACTGAGGAGGGACCAGCAAACCCTCTGAGGAAGGGAAAGTAGGATGTGAGTGCACGCATCGAAGCCCCCTGGAGCCGAGGTCCCCTGAGGATCAACATGATTTTGAAGGCGATTGTCATGAGTGGTGGGAGCGGAGAGAGCCACTGGCACCTAGACTTTCTCAGGGCCCTCCTGGACTTTGGCAGCCATGTTGTTGGTCTGGATCAAGAAGGCAGTGTAGGCCATGTCAGCTTCCTCCTTGGAGGACTAAGGGGGCAAGAGGACAGGAGTCAGTGTTTGGGGCACTGGCTCAGCAGGTGGGGATCGGAGGGAGTGTCGGCACTTCATAATCTTGGCCTAAGCAACCCAAGCCTGTGTTGACCTGCTGCTCTTATTCTAGCTCCTCAGGCTCACTAAGGACTAATTTTGAGAAGCGGAAAGTTGCAGTTTCTAAAAATACCTCCCTCTGTCTCACTACCTCCTTCCGACACATGGAGTGGAACCACCTCTGTTGCTTGGGCCTGTCCCCAGAAGCTCTGCCCACACAGTCCATGGGCAAGGTGGTCTAGACTGATGTCAGCCACAGTGGTTCACGTTTTTCTTTCACTACCTGCTCAGAGATGGAGCTCGGCAACAACACAGGGCTAGAGAGGAAGGCTATCTCCAGGACGAGCTTCCTCCCCTACTTGTTCCAGATTCGGGGTCTCTGCTGCTTCCAGGGAGAGTAGATATGAAAGCAAGCATTAAAACCCTGGACTAGGAGGCCCAGGGGATGGGAGGAGGGTAATACGTGACCCAAAGCCAAGAATCACCTCTGGTAGGGTTGTAAGCAACATGGCACTTGACTGGGGTGGGGAAGGGCTTCTGGTGACTACCAAAGTGCCCATGGCCAGCAGATGTCTTTCAGACCCAAGTGGAAGGCTGGTCCTGAGCAAACTCTCAAGGGAGGCTGGGTGGCCTGAAGCCCACAGGTTCCACAGCCCAGGAAGGGGATCCACTTAATCACCGGCATTTGACATTTGGCCTTCCCCATCCTGTGTCTGCAGTTTTGTTGTCCTTCCTTCTCATCCCTCACTCTCCCTGCCTCTGGCATGTTCACAGCCCGTCCGCTTACCTCCTGCCTCTGCCTCAGTCACATCAACAGCACAGCCAGGAAGGCAGGCCTTGCCCTCCGAAAGTTCTCCTGAAAACTATTTTCACTGCCTTCCCTCTTCTGACATCAGCCCCAACACTGAGGTAGCTTCTCCTGAGGTCTAACTGCCGTCCCTCATGCTGCACTTCTTTGTCACAAAAGTGAGGCCTCCCTCTCCCTCCTCGTTCTCACCCGTTTTGCCTTCTTGGGTTCTTCGGTCTCTGCTGTGTTCTCGGTGGCAGTGCCGCACTCTGTGTGAGGAGCGAGGGGCGGGGGGTCTTAGCCTTCACTGGCCTTATACCCCCACCCCAGAGGCAGGGTCAGGTCTCATTCTCGCTCCCCCCAGTGGGTCGGACATTCCCTTTGAGTGAGGGACGTACCATCTTTTCCTCCGAGCGTTGTCTCCTGAGTGACTGGCGAGGCCCCCATGTTGTCATTGGCACCAAAATCCTTGGAGTTCTCAAAGTCCGACATGCTGATGTCTGTCCTATAGCTTCTAATTGAAACCCGGTCTGTCCAGGAGAAAGAGGAGTTGGTGTGGGGACAGAGGACATATGCGAGCAGGACATGCTGCCTCTGAGGGACCCTCACAGGATAGCTGGAGAGGACAGTGTGGCACGTTGCTCATCTCTGACTCTGACCCAGAGCAGAATGGAAATGGTCAGAGGCTCCTTCCCTGTCCCTTCTCAAGGAGAATCAAGACTCAATAACCCCTGACCTTTTTTTTTTTTTAAAGATTATTTATTTGTGTGTGTGTGTGTGTGTGTGTGTGTGTGTGTGTGTGTGTGTGTATGTGAGAGAGAGAGAGAGAGAGAGAGTGAGAGAGAGAATGAGAGCAGGGTGAGGGACACAGGGAGAGGGAGAGAGTGGGAAAGAAGCAGATTCCCCACTGAGAGCAGAGCCTAATGTGGGGCTCGATCTCACTACCCTGAGATCATGACCTGAGCCAAAACTAAGAGTCAGAGGCTCAACCAACTGAGCCTCCCAGGCACCCCAAGAACCCCTAACCTTTCAAGGCACAGTGCCTCGTTCTGTCCTCACATCAGCCCTGTGAGGCATGGCATGTATTATTATCCCCGCCTTGAACCCTGAGGAAATGGAGGCATGAAATGGGGACACCCAAAGTCACACAGCCAGCCAGTTCTCAAAGTAGGCCAGAAGTGTAGCTCCCCCTGCATCCTGAGCTCCTCATCCTGGAGGTCCTGCCTCTGAACTTGGACCTGGAGCCATTACAGGTGACCTTCCTGGGACAGCGGCACTCAATGTGAGTTTTGGGTATGAGTTTATCTTTCCCCACCCTGCTTTCCCAGAACACTTTCTCAGAGCCTGTGAAAGAGAAGAGACCACGGCAGCCCCACACTAAGGGCAGCTAAGCCCCCTGACTGAGGTCCAAGGGCTCAGGACTGGAGATGCGGGGCAGGGGCCTCCCGGGCACTCACCAACGTTCTTCCTATGCCGTGCCCTGAGCACTGCCACAACCACGGCCCCCACTGCCAGCACCAGGCCCAGGGGCACCAGGGTGGAGACAAGCACTGTGGAGCTCCCACTTTGTCCTGCAGAGCTGGAAGAAGGGCTGAGTTAGTCGCTGGAAGGGAAGCCTGGGGTTTCAGGACATCCCAGCAGTTTGGGTCCCCCCCAACCGTTTCTTTCCCTCCTCTTGGTACAGCCCCTCAGCTCTTCTAGGGAGACTTCCCCGACATGGCAAAGGCAAGGACAGAACATTCTCTGCATCCCAGGTCTGGGAAATTGAACTGAATGGTGGACATGCCCCACAATCCCCGGGCTCAGGAGAAGGGCAAAGAGAACCACGGGCCCCTCCTGAGCACAAACCAAGGCAGAGAGGGCTGCCCCACCAACGAGAGGAGGACAGGCCCTCCTCTGTGCCCCCCACAGCCCAAGCTCAGGTCCTCATCCTCTGGGATATTCTCCCTCACCTGCTGGCATCTACGGACCCTTTGCTCCCATCTGCAGGGTCTCCGACATCCTTCACTGTTTTGTCATCCACAAAAAGCCTGGGATTCTGAATGACTTTGCTCTCAACTTCCCTGACACTCGACTCTAACCCTTCTTCACCGGGAGCTGAATCCACTTGGCTGATGTCTTGGGACCCTGGAGAAAGACAGGCGGGGCTGGATTATTTGTTCTCTCTCTGTTTTCCCTCCTTGATATCAGGGAATGCAAGGAGTGGGACTTCAGTAGCAATCACGGGGTCAGGGTGAGATCTCAAGGCTATTAGAGTCGAGTCCAGAATAACACTAGAAGTAGATGATCTCTGTCCCATTCATACCAAACTCATTTCCATCTCCAAGGCTCCATGGCATAGCTCCAGCTCTGCATAGGGGCTGGCTGATCATTTAGAGACTGACATTTTTCTCAACTTTTTGAAACTCTGCCCCAGGTCTGCTGGGTGCGATTGTGCTGCCCCCTGGTGGTATCTTGGCAAGGGTTCCCTTAGTGAACAAGACCAGTGGGACCCAGGTATGGTAGGATTTCTAGAGATTCTTATAATACCCTCACTAGGGACAAAACATTTCATGTGATATTTTAAAAAAGAGCCTTAAAATGCAAACATGCTCGAAGAATTTGCCTTAATTTTCTTTGTTATATCTTACAAATGAAGATATCTGGCCTCTTTCGAGAGCAGGCTTTGGCAGAATGTATTGCATGTAACAGTGACTTTGAAATTTCACGATGTAGACGATCTCTCTTATAGAAAGGGCTTCAAAATAGCCTGAAGGGGCAACTATAGGGCTTGTCTTGAACCTGTGGTTATATGGCAAACCTACTTTTTTTTCCGGTTTGTATGCTTTTCTCTGATGCTCCTTGTAGAGGGATAAATGAGACTCGACAGAGGCTTACTCTCCCCCTGCCTCCAGTCAGTCGCTTATAGTCAGACCAGGGGCCACCTCTGATGGACGAGCTCGTAGGCAGGAACCTTCTCTGGTAACCCCAGGGGACATAGACTTTGACCTCAGAGACTTACCCTTTACCCTCTCCTCGACTGACAAATAGACAGCCATGGTCTCTCCGTATCGGGGCCCATCCTTCACCCCGCACCAGTACCAGCCTTCATCTGCCTTGGAGACTGGGTTCAGGGTCATGGAAATTATCTGGCTCTTCTGGTCACAGTTCATGAAGGCCTGGCTGGGCCCTTCATCTTGGCTGGGCAGAGTTTTGCAGCCTCTGTCACTCCACTTGCACCAGTATTTCTCGAAGGAGTAGTATTTGCATGGGAAGTGACAGGAGAGCTTGAAGGTCTCCCCAACCCGGCCAACAGCATTCTTGGGTACCTTGAGGCCTGGTTCTCCTGGAGTAGGGCAGGAGGGAGAGATAGGCATGCAGGTTGGCATTGGTGAGACTGCAGGGAAATAACTGTGGTGGGGACCTTTGTCCATGGCCCATTTCCTCTCTGGAGAGCATTATAAATAAATACATTATACTGAGTACATAAAGAATGTGATGTATGTGCCTATGTAATAATTACTATTAATGACCCTCATGCATTAATCTAGTCTATCATTAAACATAGGGTCTTACCCATTGGCCTCAGTTTGCTTTCCTTGATCTTCTCTTCTAGACTCAATACAAAGAGCCACACTCTACTTCAGCTGATGGCATATATACTGTAAAAGAGGCCACTGTTCTTGATACTAAAAGGGGATACACTTGGTGGTGTAGAGAGTGTGGAGTATGTGCAGGAAAGGGTGCTTGTTGCAGTTACGAAAACATGATGTCTCAATTGTTGGGTTCTCTCCTGAGGTTTGTCCCATCAGCATGGCATGAGATAAGAGGAAGAGTGGTTGAGGGGGATGTCACTGCTGACTGAAGGGTCCTGGGGCTGCCTCCCTTCCCTCTTGTCCCTGTTCAGCTCTTACCTTCGACAATCTTGAGCTCCACCATGTACTTCCAGTGATTATCACCATTGGTCAAACACCAGTAGAAGCCAGCATCCTTGGGGGTGAGCTGGTTGAGTATGACTGTGTAGGTGCCATTGCCTGGCTCTTCATGCAGTGTGAGCCTGCCCTTGTACTGCTCCTTAACCAGCTCCGCACTCTCCACCAGCGGCTGGCAGCGGCCATTTTGAGTGTCTTCCCAGCGACACCAGTACTTCAGGCTGTCTGCTTCCTTGGGGTTGTAGGGGCAGAGCACTGCCACAGAGCCACCAACCACACCTTTCACCACAGAGGGAATCTGGGGCATTATGGTCTCTGGAAGTACAGAAATGGAATGGAACATCTGCAACACGGTCTGGGTAGCTCCTCCCCATGGTCTCAGCTAGGGCAGAGAGTGAAGTTTAGATCATTTACCTCACTCTCCTTAGAAAATGAGAAAGGCTTTTCTAATGTACAGAGTCTGTAGCTGAAGACATCCAGCCAGACTCCAGTGACCTTCACCACTAGTCTGGGCATTTTGTTTCCTTTCCCCCACTTTATTCTTGGCAGAGAATGGAAGGAGTTTAAGGAATGACTCTCAGTTCTCCTTGGGCTTCTTATAAAATCTTGCTATATACAAGTTTTTGTCTGTTTATTAGCTCATCCCATTAAAATGGCCAGATGGTTTTTCCCCAAATTAAGAAAATATATTTAGGATGGTATGCTTTAAAATATAAACTACGTAGCACAGAAGGTTTTCTAGTTGGTGACTCTGAGGGCCATCTCAGGAAAAAAAAGATGGCCGTTTTCCAAAAACTAAAGCTGATGTCCAGTGGGAAGATGGACATCATATGAAGATGCTGAGGAATGTAGTGAGGGCCAAGCTGATATAAAAGTACTGCCCAGGGAATGTGAGCCCCTTAAGGAAAAGTCACAGGTGACATTGAACTGCGAGTACTGGTTTGCTGTTTCTCATGAGGGTAACTCTCCGCAGTGCTCCCCAGTGAGGGGGAGCAGGGATTTAATGATTTCACCACCTTGCTGGCCTGCCAAACTAGAGCTATGTAGGCCAGGTGGTGGAGTTAAAAAATACTCTTATGAGATGTTGAGGGGGAAACTCAGAGGCTGTGGTATTGTTTTCCTGGGACAGCACTGAGGCCAAGATAAGACCAAGAAAAGAACAAGATAAACTGCCCATTACAGATTAAGGGATGAGGTGCTATCCTGCTTGAAAGACTAGGGAGAAGGGACAGGTGGCCCTTGTAAGCTTTGCCATGGCACTGGGGTTCCATGCTAGGTCCTTACCATGGCTCTCTGAGACCCAGATATTCTGCGGGTCTTGCCTCAATGAGGAGCTTCGCTCTCCTTTTTGTTAATCAGGGACAGCCATCAGAAGGCCTTTGACAGAGAAAAATTGGTAGATAATGCAAGGCTGAGGCTGTGTTTTCTAGCACTCCTGTCCAGCTGCCTACATAGCACGTAGTTCAGGGCCAATGGGGAGAGGATGACATTGACTGACTGATGGATAATGGATAGACTCCCAGGGCATGAGACAGGTGTCCACCTGCTGCGCGGACACTCTTCTTCCCCTCCCCATCCCAGGTCTCACCTTCATTGACAAAGAGTTGCCAGGGCTGGGTGGGGTAGCCTTCGTGAGGCTGACCATCAGAGTGGGTTCCACACAGGTAGTACCCGGCATCCTCTTTCCTCAGGTTGGTGATATGCACACTGAAAGAGCCCTTCTCCTTGGGAATAAGCAGGATCCTGCCCTCAAAAGCCTGAGCCTTCTGCCCCAGGGTGTTGATGACCACGTCGCAGTCTTTCCCCTTGCGTGTTCTGCACAGAAATCTGGCTGTATCTTTCACCTCGGGGCCCAGGGCACAGTCAAAGGTCACGGAGCCCCTCAGATCTCCATAAAGCAGTTCAGGCTCAGGCTTCAGCACCTGGAGGTCAGCATAACTCTTCTCAGCACTGGGGCCATCCCCAGCCTGGCATCTGTACATCCCAGCATCGCTGAGCCGGACTCGCTTGATAATGAAACTGAATATTAATTGGTTGGTATTCAGAATATCGATCTCTGCTCTGTCTGTATAGTTGGAGTTCACATTTCCATAGGAGTCAATGACTAGAACACAGAGCTGGCCTGTGTTCTTGCACACGGACTTCCTCTTCTCAGAATTCTCATGCTTGAAAGGGCAATTGATGGTCACTGTTCCACTCAAGTCAGCAACGTAGACCCCAACGCCATTTTGAAGCCCAGGACCTGCAGGATAACGGGCAGGTGGCCAGTTGTGATTTCACTTTCTTGCAGTTGAGGGCTGTTTAGTATTCCCAGTGAGGGTCTGGGTATACCTATCACCTTCACTGCCTTCCTTCCAAGGAGGACACTACCAGAATGTCTTCCAAGGACCAGCTTTACTGCTGTCTCCTCCATGAAGCCCTCCCCAAGCTGGGGCTAATCTTTTCCTCCTCCGTGCTCTCTTGACACTTACATCTGTTATCTCTTATTACATCTGATCTTGCCTAGAGTTAATTATGTTCCCCATAGCCCAGAAGTCCCTTGAGAGCAAAGACATACTTTACCCATGTGTGACTCCCCCCCGCAGTGCCCAGCACCATGACTATACGTGGTAGGAACCCAAAGTAACGTGTGTTGAAATAAACAGAATGAATATAAGGATAGGGTGATGGATTTCAGTGCACTGTGATGGAAGTTTCTAAAACTTACAACAGTCCAAATATGGAAGGATCTGCTTTGTAAAGTAGTGAATGTCTGCCATTTCAAGTGTTTAATCAGAGGCTGTATACCCATTGTCTCCAGTGTTCTTTCAGACATCCTGTATAAGGTCAACTCCAAGTTCTCCTCGGCTCTTAAAATTCTTCCATTTTATGACTCTCCATGACCACCTGAATGAACTCTTTATTCAGTCCATAGATAACCCCCAGGCACATGCCAGGGGAATATCTTTGAGACATATCTTTGAGAACCCCTCCAATTTTCCTCCCTTAAGACTTCTTTCTCTCTTAATTTCCCTTGATTATCTGAAATGCCCTTTGTTGTTGAACCCTTGTCAGAAAGATCTTTCCTATTTTTCTCTTCTCTTAACTAGAACAGCCTTTTCAGTGGCCCACTCTTGCAGGGCCCTGGTCTTTGGGCAACAACTGATCATTTCATTTATGCTAAGGGTGTTGATGTACTAACAGATCCCAGATCAAAAATGCATTTTGAAAGAAGCCTTCTGGTGACCTTAAGGTCCTGATCTGAAGGGTGCACTAATGGCAGGAATTTAAGGATCCCTAGAAACCTCTCCTTGCCTTTTCTGTCTCCCTCAGTTCAAAGACCTCTCTCCCCGCCCTGGAACAAACACAGTAAGAGAACTTGTCCTCCTGATGCTCTTCTAAGCTACCGCTTTAGTAAAACCCTCAAATGTCGTAGGCCCTGAAGACCTAGAAAGTTGTACTCACCATCCCCAAGGGTGTGCCATCTGTCTCATTTCCATATTCTATTATGAAAAGTCCTTGCCTCTGGAAAGAGAACTCATAGTCTTCCCCACCCCATGCTGGACCTCTTCCCTCTCAGGAAATGCTTCCTCCAGCCCTCCCACAGCAACTGAGATGAGTTCCTCTCACTTTTCCAAGGAGCCCAAGGAGCCTGGGTTCTTACCCCGGAGGACCTCCAGGTTCACATCAAAGGACAGACCTCGGCTGTTAATGCCCAGACCACACTTGTAATGCCCAGAGTCGCCCCGAGTGAGATGGTCAATGTTCACCACAAATGTGTTGCTCTCTGGGAAGTTGGTAAGGTTGGCTCTGCCCTCATAGTCCCTGGAGATGTAGCCTTCTGAAGAGACGAGGGTCGTGCAGCGGCCCTGGGCCCCCTGTCGGCACCAGTACTTCCGGGTATGCCGGTTGACAGAGGAGTCTGGGTAGTAGCACGTGATAGATACTGAGCGCCCTTCCACACTGCTCACTTCCTGGGGACCGAATATGGGACTCTTCATGGAGACCACTGTGGGGACAAAAGGCAGAGGTTTTCCGAGGTCCTGGCAGGTAAAGCCTGCTCAAATGATCCCAACAGCCTCCCTGAGGAGATGAAATTGTCCCCCCGCACATGTGCCTCCTGTAGATTATTTGCTATGCACGACAGCAGGACAACTGCTGCTGGACAATTCTACATGACTTGCTGTGATTGGGTAAAATGATTGATTAATCGTTATTACATTCTAACTGTATCTCATTAAGGATTGCCATTTTAAGGACAATGGAACGGCAAACTTACTTCATATCTCTTTCCATTAATAAAAAACCACTTTGTGGGGTGCAACACCATTGCATTTGTTGTCTATTACTTTCTTATATTTCTAAAAACACTTGGTAGATTCTTTTCTTTTCTTTTTTTTTTCCAGATAAAAATATTGGGAGCCAAGAAGGAAAAGTTATTTTCTCCAAACCCCATAGCAACTCCTGAGAGGTCTGATTTGAGGTCTAGGCCTTTTTTTTTTTCCTGGTAAAGAACCTTAACCAGACTCCTGGCCTTGAAACAAGTAATTGCCACTCCTGTTCTGGATCCCCAACACTGGTCACCAGGTCTTTTTTCAGACGTGACCTTTCAGCACCGTCTGTGTGACTCCTCCTTGAGTCGGTACAGGTTTTGAGAGTGGCATCCCTGGGGACAGGCCAGGTTTCAGTGTTCCCGGCACCCTGGGTCCTGGAGGGGTGGACTGGGGCCTGACAGACGCACCTGGGAAGACAGCCAGCAGGCAGGTGAGGAAAAGGAGCCCCATGGCTTGTGGTTCTCAAGGGGCTGTGCCACCCAGGCCGACTTCTTTGTGGGAAGCTGAAAGAGAGTAGCAGAAAGGATGAAGCTCTTGTGTTTTCCAAGGCCAGTTGGCTTTACAGTTCCTGTAACACCTATTTGGTTTTGTAGTTCCAGTAACGGACAGAAAGCCTGTTGAAAGCATGAATGGCTCCGCCTTTCCCATTATATTTCAAAGTCCCATTATTCCACAGAGCTTTTCATTCCTTAATAGTTCTAAGTAGCTATTTGTCTTCTCAACTAAACTGCATGTTCCTTTGGAGTAAGGACACAGGTGCCATTTTTCCTGTGTCCCTGTCTGGGTGGCATGCTCCTAGGGTTAGCTCTGTAAGGTCTCAGAACAGCTCACTGGATCGTGGGTTATACCGACCAGTGGTCCCGTCTCTCTGTTTCGGCTGCCCTCCCTACAGCCCTGGCATACTTTATGGTGTGTTCATATGAGCAAACTGGGTCCCCTCGAGAAGGCCCGATAGGGATTAAAGTTTAAATGTCACAATGATGGTCTCTTACATTAGCTCCTTCCGGGCACTGTGTTAAATAATGTACATGTATTATCTCATTTAAACTTAATATCACCCTCAGAAGTGGTTGTTCTTCCCCACATTTTACATAGGAAGAAACGGAAGCTTAAAACTAAGTGCTTTCCTCAAGGTCGTATAAGACTTAAGTGTGTGGGTGGGCAGACTGGGAGTTGGGGAGATGGGCAAGATTTGAACCCAAACTTGTCTGACTCCACAGTCCAAGCGCTTTGCCTTCTCCCGATGCATTGGGTCACACCTCAAACACAGGAGCAGGCTTAGCCCTGTGCTCATTCTTGTCTGTTGTAGAGCCCCCGTTACTTATCAAAGTATTATCATTCACGCCTTCCTGGAGCTTCATAACTTCCCTGTAGCTAAGACAGAATGGATATAATTACAACTGTTTTATGAATAAGAAAATCAAGATCTTGAGATGCTGAGGGATAGGCCCAAGATTTCTCGGAGATTCAGTTATGGGATGAGAGTTTCAAGCGTAGGTATTGTGGCTTATTATCTTGCCTCATCATTCAGGACAGAGGAAGCTGGAGAATCCAAAATAAGGCTCCTTGGAGGGTCTGGTGCGGGTAAATCTTGCCATGTCTGTGGATGTAGCTTTGGGCTGGGGTGGGGTGGGTGTAGCTTGAGGGTCCCAGGGTTCAGCCTTACCATTGCTATCCTTAGGATCCCGAACCGCAGCCCAGAGGAGGAGAAAGTTGGACAGAGGAGCCCCACTTTCCCACGAACTTCGGCAGGCTTTAACCTTTGGAGTGGATTTGATGATGGATGAGAGCATTAAGGGAGAAAACCTTGTCAATAAGCCCAGTACCATAATGAGCACTTATAAAGATTAGGAAGCCCTAAGCACTCGGAGCCCAGAGAATGAAGTCCCAGGCTCCCCTTACCACCCCGGCCCCTGCTCCCGCCCTCAGAGACTCCCTTCATTAGCTTGAGCCAAAGGCAATAGAGCTGTTTATCTTGGTTATTTCTTTTCCGGGGGGGAATTCCCCAGCAAGGAACCTTTTTATTTCCTTGTGCAGATAAAGGTATTCTGTTTCTCCAGTTCTTTGGGAGAGTCAGGGGAGTGGGTTCGGGAAGGAGGGGACAGATATGGTGCCAGGTGGCAGCTTGAGGTTCTCTTGATGCCAATTAATTGCCCCAGACTTTTCACACCAGGCCAATGATTAACTCCTGGGGTAGGTTCTCAGCCAAATGCCAGCGTCAGCCCCAAACTGGATGCATTCGGGGGATGCTGGTTTGAGGAACCGTCTGAGTGGTCACTCCAGGTCACCATGAGACAGACTTCCAGGGGGGACCAGGCCTCAGAAGACTGGCAAGTCTCTCTCTTCTGGGAGACTCGGCGTGGACTGGGTGCAGAGCCCCAGGGAAATTACCTTGGGTAAATCGGGCCTTGGGTGCAGTGACAAAATGCCACATGCTTTGGAGCACTGAACCAGCAGTGCTTCCCTTGGTGCTGGTTCCTACTCTCACCTTCAGACAAGCAAGCTCTCTAACATTTCTGTATGCCAGGAATGGGTACCTCCCTGGACTGCTAAAAGGGACTTGCTCTGGGTTACAGAGAGGTAGGTGCCTGCTTTTCCCAAGTGGAAGTCCCAACTTTTGGCTCAGGCTTCCTCTCGTTGGTGACTTGCTTACGTGGCTGTGACTCTCCACCTGGGGAGACGACATGCACATGGACCCACGAGCCTTTGCACAGCCTCAGGGCAGGGATGAGAGCATCAGGTGTGCACAGCTGGAAGGGCAAACCTGGCAGAGAGTGACCTTGGTGAGAACCACAGGGGAGATGATGGGAGGGCAAGGGCACCCCCACTCTCGGAGGCAGGAAATCTTTGTCCAAAGATGAACTTGAAGCACCGTTTCTCTGCTAGCAGCTGATATGACTCTGGGCTTTGACGATCATTAGAAATCCCTTCTTCTCCAAACCAAATTTTTTTCCCAAACCTGGGAAATTCAGGTGTCTGGGAGGCCCCAGGCCATGGTGGTTAGAACTGGCTTAAGCAATTTGCTTAAGGACAGAGCATACTATTTACTGGGCACTTACTAGGGCAGCAGATGCTTTGCTAGCTACTTTTCTTACGTGAATCCATCCATCATCACAAGAACCCAAGAGACAGATAAAATTACCTTCATGTTGTAGATGAGAGAGCAAAAGGTTAGCGAGATTCTTGGCCCCAAGACCCACAGCAGTATTAGATCACTACCGTATTATCATTCCTTACAAGAGCAGAGGGACCTGTCCTTTTGGAATCTACATAGGCTGGGATACCCGGCATGAAGGCACTTTTTCTTGTCCTTAGAACAGGACTTGTTCTTTTCCCCAGCTAGGCTGGTGTATTCTAAATCACTCTCATGTTACCAAATTACTACCCCTGACACATTTATAACATGTCTACACATTGTGGATTGGGGCAGGGTTGTTGGCTGTGCTGGAGAATAAAGTTTATTACCTTGTAAAATTAATCTACCAGGCTCCCCTTTGGTTAGAGTGACTGAACTTTAGCTCTACTAGGTTGGAATCCAAACCTTTGTCCACCAAATCTATAGTTTCCTTTTTTTTTATTCAGAGGGAGAGGGATGTCCCAGACAGACCAGGTCCTAGCACAGGGGCTGGCACACCATTTGACCTTCAGCCTCTCTGAGCTCTTCCTCTGTTTGGTACATTGTACAGGGCCAGTCAGGGCTCTCAGCCCCAGAGGCTTCGGAGAGGAGGGAGAGTGTGCACAACAGGGACTCGAAGCCAAGTTGGCAGTTTCTGACATCTTCCTGTGAGCGTAAACTTGGAGGAGCAAAAAGCTTGGAGCAGCTGGCCTGGCTGGGGACGGGGCTTTTCTTGGCCTGACCTGAGCAGCGCCTTCCCTTACTTCTAGAAGAGGCACCGCCTGAGTCCATGTGGGGCTATCCCTTCTGTCTCCCTCGGGTGCAGGAGCAGAGCACATGCTAGAGTGATCCCGGAAACTGCATGATCACTGTGTGGTTTGAAAGGGCCTTGGACATGAAATGACAAGTAGGAGCTTAGGAGAGTTTATGTAGTTTACATAAGTCCTGGCATGTGGGACAGTCTCCATGTAAAGGCAACATTTGGGGAAAGGGAATAAGAATTCTAGAGGACAAGAAGATGGAGAGAGAACAGACAAGGGGTCTGAAGAATGTATGACCTAGAAATACTCAAGACTTTCTAATCCCATCCCTGTCAAAAGTGGCCCACATGAATGCAAAATTTAAGCAGAATTAAACAATTGAAATACCAGCTCCATGAAGCTCTGGGAATAAGCTTCGTGGATGTCTAGACGACCTTTCTGTAAAAACTTAGAACCTTGTTATTAATTCCACCCCATTCTACCTTAATGTGTAGATACTTATCTCGTCCACTCAACCAAATGGCTTGCTCCTAGAAGGCAGGGGACAACTGGGATCAGTCTCTACAACCCAGAGGGGCTTGCGTGAGAACATCTGGCAAGGACCAGCTGTTCAGCGAAGTTGAAGGGATTGGAAAGGGTTCCATCTCTATCCTCTCTATGGGAAGGGTCAAGTCAGTGCTGATTTCTTACATTTTGCCAAATGCCTTCTTAGTTTGGGGCACACAAGGGGCAGTTGCATGAAGAGGAGCCCAGGGGATGGAAGAGAACCCAGAGGCCCCAAGTCCTTCTGTGTCACAGGCTAGCGGAAGAGCTCTAGCACTTGGGCAAAATACGCTGGCCCAACTCCTTCACCCGTAAAATGAGCATCATAGTCCCTGAGTCTTCTAGAGAGACACGCTTCTGTGGGTTGGGGGAATAGGGAGGGGATAACGGGATATGCATGTGGAAGTTCTTTAAATAGTATAAAGTGCCCTTCCAAAGTAGGAGCTTACAATCACTCTCAAGCACAAGGCAGTGAGGGTCTGTGCACTTGACATTCATGGTTGCTGAGCACTTGGAGAGTGGCACAGAGTATGGGCTCCACCGCTTGGTTTTCAGCTCTCTCACTTCGGGGCTGTGTAATTTGGGGGCAGGATATTTAAACTCTTCGAGCATCAAGTCCTCACTTATAAACTAGAGACAATTGCATGTAGTAGAGAGAATCGCTCTAAGGATTAAATAAAACAAAATATGTAAAGTCCTTAGTATGGTGTCAGCTTAAAAAATGTTAGTTCCTTTCCCATCTCCTCTCTAAAATCAGCAGTCCTCTCTTTTTCCTGTCCTAGAGTGAGAGGAGAATAGAAGTCTGTTCACTGGGCATCCCTTGAAGACCGGGAGTGAGCTACTCAGATTGGACCAGCATGGTCTGAAGGAGGAGAGTAGGTTAGAAGTGAGAGGTAGAATTATGGCTACCACATATGGAGTTTTTTTCAAGGGCTTTCCATGTGTTTATCTCACTTAATCTTCGCAGCGACCCTAGGAGGGAGAATAAAATGGGCAAACTCATTTCACCGATGAGAAAACTGAGGCACAGA